AACTTTCGAAATACTATTTCTAGTTAAACGCTTTTAGGCTTACTTCAAAGCCTGTTCTTTTCTCTTTCAAACAAACTATTATCCTTGTCTCCAATGCTAGTAATAATTGCACAGGAAAAGATTTAGTAAACCTATCATTTTTAGTTGCTGTTTAATTATGCAAGTTTACTATGTTATTGTTTAGTCGGTTTAAATGTTAGAATTTTCTTCTTTAAACTTTAATGTTGTCGTCACTACATCTGGAAAACCACGTAAGAACAAATAAAAAGTATTTTAAAAGAGACCAGGTTGTTTGAAAATCCTAAACGAATGCTAAAAATCGTCAAAACATTCTGGTGTCTGAGCCAGAGTGTCATCGAATTGCGATGTAATGTAAACAGAAATTATAGCAAGTTGATGTCAGTCAGCTTAGATGGTCCAAGCCAAAATTATATCGCATTTGAAGTTACAAACTGACTTAAAAATAGTGGAAAAAAAGCCGTAATTATACTTATTGTTACAATCCATTTATATATATATATATATATATATATATATATATATATATATATATATATATATATATATATATATATATATATATATATATAAAAGACTTTCTTAATCAAACTTTTAAAGCAAAGCCAAAACGTTAAAACATTCACATCCGATCTTTATCTGCATAATATATAGAAACTATCGTCTTTGGCTCGAGTTTGTATATCAGATAAAGATCGGTTGCAAATGTTTAAACTAGTACATATTATCGTAAAAGTAAAGCGTATTTGAGATAATTTTTATTAAACCACATGGATAAGCACGTAATTATTTTTCTATTTTTTCTCATTAGGTGCTAGACAAGGTGGGATTGAAAGAACGTTTGTTTCCTGGACTGCTGGACTTTTTCTGTAATGTAGTTATGCAGCAGTACAAAAACATTACTCTCACTGACACACAGCCTTCAAGAGTAGCTGAGACACCAACCAACGACATGACGGCAATTTTACAGTCAATTTCAGCTGACTTTTCATCGTAAGATTCCGAACTTCGTTCCGAACTTCGCAAATTCGTTGCCAAGTTCAAAAGTTCATAACGAAATTCACAAACAGGTTTGTAAACTGGGCATTTGATTGGCTGGTTTGATTTAATAGCCAATCAGAGGCTTTGTTTACAAACCTGTTTGTGAATTTCATTATGAACTTTTGAACTTGGCAACGAATTTGCGAAGTTCGGAACGCATTTCGGAATCTTACGATGAAAAGTCAGCTGAAATTGACTGTAATTGACATAGCCACAAGTGCTATACTGAGAATCCCATTGAGGTAAGTTGTATAGTACCATAGACTACAGTATAACTCGTGCAAGGTTTTTGGAGTTAAAAATGTTGACTCTGAAACAATTATGACTAATTCGGCAATGCAATAAAAATGTCAAGTTTTATGAACGTCACTATTTTGATATGCCATACAGCCAGTTTTTCTTAATTTTGGCATTGTCTAGAATTCCTAAATTATTTGAAACGTCGATTACTCATTCAATATACTGTATTAGGCCGTAGGATGAGCATCCAAAAGAAACACCGTGGAAAAACGTCTGCGCATGCACCAAATTATGAAAATATGGCGGGGAATTTGAATATCAATTTCTAAAACAAAAACATGCTTATTAATTGGTCAAAATTAGTAAAACAAACGAGAAAATATAGCAAATGGGTAGACTAGACATTATAATTGAAAGCGTCCTGGCATTTAAAGTATGTAATTAAATATAATTCATGTAAAAAATTGTTGATTTTAACGGACACGACTTCGAAAATTTTTGCAAAATTATTCAAAACAAAAATTCAAACTAAAAAGTTAAGAAAACTCTCGAAAAGTTAAGCTTCTTAACCCACTCAAATTGTAGAATAAATCCTATAGTTTAATTATTGAGAACACGAAATTTTTTTATATTTGGCGACATAGTTTTTTTTAAAGAAATGTATCTCAAACGAAAATTCGGAAATTGTCGTTGCTTAGTTGATAAACAAAATGTTTCAGACTATGAAACAACTAGACTATAATTTCAGAAATTTGTCAACAATCACCTTTAGTTCATGTTCTTGTACAATACAACTTCTTGAAACTTCTGGCTGCATTTATTCCTATTTTTTAGAATGACATGTTTATTTTTGCGCTCGAAATCTGGCTGTAAAGACGCACAATGAAGTCACTCCTTTTTACCGCCATTTTGAGCCTTCGGAAACGTTCGGAACAGCTTGTCATAAAGTTCGCAATACTATTACAGGTAAGGTTGACGCATGCGCAGACGTTTTTCCGCGGTGTTTCCAAAAGATGCAATTCCGTTGCACCCCTCGTGTAACTACGTAATTTTCACATGAATAAATAGATAAAAACTTACTTTATCAGAATCCGTTGCTCCCCAAGCGAAACAGGTGCACAATTGGGAGAAAAATCCTTCCAAAGTTTGATATTTTCGCGCTTCGAAATACTCGAACCGCCATTGTTTTGGTAGCAAATACGCATGCGCAACTCAGCCAAACTCGCACTGCGCACGCGCAGACTATAAAAATAGATTCTCACTGTGGGGTTTCCCCGATTTCCTCCGCAAAAATAACAAAATAAAATCACGGAATACTGATCAAACCTTGTAATATAAATACACCCACATTAAATATTGTTTAAAACACATTGTATATTTTGCTTGCTCATATGCTAAATCACTTCAATTCATTGGCTATTGTTTCAAAATACCGTTTTAACGTTTAATTCTACTTTATATTAACATCCTAATTCAATACAAATTTGTGTGAGGTAAAAACCCACTAGTATGAAATAGGACGGAGAATAAAAAATATTTATGCATACAATTCACACGATCAAGGAACAAATGAAATATTTCGCTAAACTTAAAGCCTTGGCCAAACGTAAGAAACAATGTCGTGGAAATATTCGTGATTTTAACTGGCTTTTATTGCAGAAGCAAAATTTGCTTCCCAGAAAACAAACTATTTCCTACCAAATTCAGAAGCATTTGATGAAACACTCTTTATCCGTTTGCCGACGCTGATAAGACAATATGACATACCGAAAGATTGGAAAGACAAATAATATGACAACAGTGTTTCGCAGTTCGTCCCGGGCTTTAAGGGATATTTATATAAATTACTAGGAAAACCTCTGATTGAATCTTTAATGTATTATTGAATAACTATATGCAAGATGTTTGGTGCTTCTTAAACTGTGCGTTCCACCATCGCTTAGTATACTCTATGGATACCAATCCTCGATTTGGACCAACTTTTCCATTCGCTCCAACCATATTTTCCAACCATCTGTTCCAACCAACGTAGCCGGACTGCACCAGTGATTCAGTGAAGGACCTTGAACCGTCAAAACGAGATTGCATGTATTCTGCAATAAGCTGTCCTGGCTTTTGTCTGGTAAAGTTCTACTTCTCGTATTTGAACTATTACATATATTATATTTATATTGTGACATAAGTTGGTATTTAGCCACTATCTAGAATAACAAGGAACGATTCAACCTTGTTTTTCGTGTCCACACTAGTTGACTTCTTCTTATAGATTTGCTGCTGTGCATTTCAGCTCCTCCACCAGGGTGCGTTTCAGCTTCTCAGATATGAACATACTGTTAACCCTGTCTATGAGAGGGATATACGTGATGATAATATAAATACTGTGGATCCGAATGAGAATATCGAATAAGTAAATAAATACTGATCTACTGCACTGACAATACCTACGTGCATTACCATCATTGTTCACCTCAAATCATTAATAATTCATGAGCAAATTAGCCAACCATATTGCTTTATTTTGCTCACATGATAATACCGGATACCTTATGAAGTATATTGATCCTGTAGTGTCCTAGGACTGGATTAAAATTAATTCAGTCCTTGGACTGGATCTAAATTAATTAAGTAGTGATTTATTCGTATGAGATGTCATTTCAAATCCTCTAGTTCGGACTGGACTAGATTTCAAGTCCTCGCATTTTGATCCAATCCTTTGCTTCGCCTCGGACGTGATCAAATTGCGTGGACTTGAAATCTAGTCTAGTCCTCGTAGTCGGATTTGAAATATTATCCATTGTCAAATCAGATGCAAATGGTGGCCAAGGAAGATTCAGTTTTGGTATTTCTTGCACCTTTTGGCGAAGAATCAATGCAGCATTGTATAGAATTTGTAACTCATTGACTTTAGAATTTCCTTCAGTTTCTGTGTTGGAGGAACTCACATCATCATCAATGGTACAGCTCTCTTCATCAAAGTCCTCATCGTTGTTTTCAGATTTAATTGACATATGTTCCTCAACCAATTCAGAAGAATCCAAATTTTCCGCATACACAATCTCACTAACATTTCTCATTTTCGGTAGACAGAACACAAGTTGGGGATAACTTTTCATCAGTCGTTGCTTGAGTTTAAAAGCTCTATATTTAGATGCGTCAACATTCTCAGTGTCCTCGATTACTTTCTTACAGAATACACCATAAGACTTCTCGTACACTGATGTAGATCTTTCAGTCTCCGATTGCTTCTTCACCTCTCTGGTGAGAAATATTGTATAATTGCAGTAGCAAACTTTGTGATAGCGGACTTCTTTGTGATAGCTACACAGTCTTTCCCCCGTTCATCGTTCTTTCTCTCGGCAGCTGTACGTAGAAGACCAGCATCAATTGTTTCTGCCAACATGAGTGGGATTCTTCTTCTCTTCTTAGTTACCTGGTGTGAAACAAAATTATTAAACTAATAAATAAACTTAATTGATCACAATAATTCAATATATTTTAAAACCAAACCCGAGAATGTTGTGCACATTGCTCTAGTATTATACCTATCAAAATGACCATACCTTGTCTAGTGAGAACCACGAGGCGTCTCTTCCACAAATAATACATATCTCTGGGAGTACATGCGCGTTTCTTTTTGGCAGGGCCTTATTTATAGCTTCTGCGACTGATTGGCGTGTAATTTTTCGCCTTGGTTCTATTGACTCCACTTCCACGTGTGATTCTTCGGTAGAAGTTACAGTTTTAGAGCTAGTTCCTTCTCCTTTTTCTTCTTTTCTCTGTTGTCTACGGATCTTCTCTTCATCTGAAAATCTCTTCCAGCATTTCATATGATGGTACCATTCTAAGTTAATGGTGTCAGGGTTCTTCTCCATGTATGAATTGACAGATCCGTCCTCGATGTTCTCGTACGATTTCTTAGCTATTTCAGCTTGTTGACATTTAAGTTTGGCCCATTTTGACCTACACTCAAGAAATTTCTTAAGCCTTTGGCGTGTAACTTTGCAATTGCAAAGTTGCTCCGTGTAACGCCATCAAAATGCGTAAAACATGAGGATATTCGAGTTTTATAAATATCTTTAGCCATGATTTATTTGCATAACTGAGCGTGTTTCGACTTCGAAGCATGTGCGTTGGTTGTGCGCATGCGCAGTACGAGTTTGGCTGAGTTGCGCATGCGTATTTGCTATCAAAACAATGGCGGTTCGAATATTTCGAAGCGCAAAAAGATCAAACTTTGGAGGGATTTTTCTCCCAATTGTGCACTTGTTTCGCTTGGGGAGCAACGGATTCTGATAAAATAAGTTTTTATCTATTTATTCATGTGAAAATTATGCAGTTACATGAGGGGTGCAACGGAATCCGTTTTCTAAGCATCTTTTGCGGGAGTTTTGGATGCTCATCCTACGGCCTATATGGTGGTAATCTTATTGACTGTTACGTTGTATATGAGATTAATCCTCGTCCCCAGGGCCTCTCGGCCGCGCGCGTCCTCCCTAGGCCCTGGGACACACGGAACTGGAAGTGGAAGTAAAGCGCACGGTCTTGAATTGAGACGCTTCAGCACCCGTAACAATTTTCACAATGAAGTATTACGAAGAGACGAAGTATTTGTGTTGACACATGTTGATAGAATAATTTTGCCTAGCGAAAACTGCTCAACTTCTGCGAAATAGCATGTAGACGAACAGTTATATAGCGGGCTCAGTAATTATGTACTGAAGGCTCAACAATACGGTTTCCTGACATATATAAACTAGATTATATTTATTCATCAGTGTGATAGTCGAGGTGTCGAAGTGAAGATATCAATTAATAAACGAACATATTTATAAACGTTCGACATGGTGTCAGGTGTGGGATTTTCCACCTAAATACTTAAATACTTTAACATTGATATCTATCTCCGAAAAGAGTTTATAGCTAGAAACGCGACGAAATGGCAGACTCGTTTAGAAAACCCGCTTTAACATTGATATCTATCTCCGAAAAGAACTTATAGCTAGAAACGCGACGAAATGGCAGACTCGTTTAGAAAACCCGAACCATTGAGCTTCGAGGGAAACGTGGCAGAAAATTGGCGTCGGTTTGAGCTAGAATTGGATATATTCTTGGCAGCAGCTCATCATGACAAAACGGAAAAGACGAAGGCGTACATCATGCTTAATATTGCTGGGAGAGAAGCGATTGAAAAGGAAAGGTCGTTCGTGTATTCACCGGCTGTACGCAATGAAGCAAATGAAATAATCACACCGGCAGAGACGAAAGAAAGCATTGAAGTCCTCAAACGAAAATTTAAAGAAATCTGCAATCCGCAGGGGAATGTAATCATGGAAAGACACAAGTTTAACGTAAGAAACCAGAGAGACGGTGAGTCTATTCAATCTTATGTTTCTGATCTCCGTATATTAGCCGATACATGTGAATACGGCACAATGAAAGATGAATTTATTCGTGACAAAATAGTGTGTGGTATTATATCGGACAGGGTTCGAAAGCAGTTACTAAAAGAAAGAGCACTCACACTAGACAAAGCGGTTCAAATTTGTCAGTTAAACGAATTATCAGAAGATTACGGTAAACAACTTTCAAAACGCGAGTCAGACAAACAAGATGTAAATTACATTAAACCCAAAAAGCCATTAAGAAAGCAATCAACCATACTAAGTTGCAAAAGTTGCGGGGGCGAGCATAGAGCAGATAAACAAGCATGTCCTGCATTTGGAAAACAGTATCATGGTTGCGGGAAGTCAAACCATTTCAAAAAAGTGTGTTATTCTGCAAAATTTTACCAAAAAGGTCCTATGAAAATTTCAAAAGCGTCCGGGTCGCATAGAAAGCCTCGCGTTGATGAAATATTAGCACACCTAAGTATTCCCCCGAAGGAAGTGATAAAGAATTATACATTATTGAGACAATCGAAGGTCCACAGGTGGCGCACAATAACAAGGAAATTTATTGTACAACTAAAATCAATGGTCATAATGCGGAACTAAAAATTGATACGGGGGCAAGATGCAATGTGATGGCACTTAGTTTATTTAAAAGGATCAGAGACGGTGAAATTATTAATAAATCAAAGTCAGTAGAGTTGGTAGCTTATGGGGGCTATACATTTTCAACTCTGGGTACTGTAGAGATGAATTGTCATATTAATTCAACAATACATAGGTTAGAATTTCAGATCGTGGATAAGCCTGTCGCATCACTTTTTGGTTTAGAGGATTCATTGGAAACGAATCTTATTAAGCTAAACGAACGCATTCACGAAGTTCAAGCAAGGTTATGGAGAAGCACAAAGATCTTTTCGATGACAACCTTGGGGAATTACCGGTCGTTTACTCCATGGAAGTTGACAGCAACGTAACACCCGTAATAAACCCACCACGCAAAATACCAATCGCAATGGGAAAAAAATGGGAAAAAAGAGCTAGACCACATGGTGGAGAAGAAGGTAATCGCCCCAGTCTCGGAGCCAACTGAGTGGGTATCGCAGATGGTAGCTACACGAAAGAAAAATGGCGAAACATGCATTTGTCTAGATCCACGAAACCTGAATCTAGCTTTGAAGAGATCTCATTATCCAATGAGAACAGTCGAAAGTGTTGCTGCTCGTATGCCAGGTACCTCAGTGTTTTCTACCTTAGATGCAAAATCTGGATTTTGGCAGATTACGCTAGACGAGAAGTTGTCGATGCTGACCACGTTTGGTACACCATTTGGAAGATTTCGATATCTGCGAATGCCGTTTGGTATAAATACAGCATCAGAAGTATTTCAAAGAACAATGGAACAGTTGTCCACCGGCTACCCTTGTGAGATCATTGTTGACGACATACTAGTTTGGGGACGTGACATTACTGAGCAGGATTATAATCTCGAGAAAGTATTGCAGAGAGCAAAGGAAGTTGACCTCAAGCTAAGTACAAAGAAGTGCAAGTTCCGACTCGAAAGTGTTTCATACGTTGGGCACCAGTTCACCAAAGATGGTCTCAAGCCAGATGAAGACAAGATAAAAGCAATCAAAGAAATGCCAGCTCCTGATGGTCCAAAGGCTTTACAAAGATTTCTTGGAATGGTGAATTACCTGCATAAATTCATCGATGATTTGAGTGAAAAGACGGCTCTACTCCACCAGTTGCTGAACAAAGACACAAAGTGGTCTTGGGATGTACAATATCAAGTGGCTTTCGAGAAGTTCAAGAAAGAAATCAGCAACCCTCCAGTGCTAAAGTTCTTCAATACTGCGAGACAAATTGTCTTATCCGTCGATGCTTCCAAGAGTGATTTAGGAGCAGTCTGTCTTCAAGACTGTTCTCCAGTGGCGTATGCTTCTCGTGTGATCACCGAAACGGAAAGTAGATACGCACAAATCGAGAAGGAGTTGTTGGCTACAGTTTTCGCCTGCACAAAGTTTTATGATTTCACGTATGGCAACAAAGTTGTGTTAGAAACTGATCATAAACCCCTCATCACGATCGTGAAGAAACCTCTACACGTAGCTCCAGCACGACTCCAACAAAGGCTTCTGCAACTTCAGCGATATGACCTGGAATTTTTCTATAAGAGAGGAAGTGATCTATTCGTGGCAGATACCCTATCACGTGCCTATATTAATGAGAAACCCAATCAAGAGAACCACGACGAGTTTGAAGTTATGTCGGTTGAATCCATATCACCTACAAGAATGGAAGAGTTAAGGTAAATTACCTCTACAGACCCGACCATGCAGAAATTAGTTCAAGTCATTCGAAGCGGTTGGCCTGCGAAGTACCGAGAAGTACCGCGTGAACTAGCGGAATATTTTTCAGTAAGAGATGAGTTGGTGATCGATAACGGTGTAATTCTAAAGAGCCAAAGAGTGGTCGTCCCAGAAAGTCTGCGTCGTGTGTATATCGAACAGTTACATAGAGGACACCCTGGAGTAGAGGCAACAAAGAGAAGAGCAAGAGATGTGGTATATTGGCCAACGATGACGAAAGATATCGAGTATGTAATATCTTCGTGCAAACCGTGCAATAGTACCAACCCACACCAAACCAAAGAGCCCATGAAAAGTCATCCAACACCGAAGTTGCCATGGACACAAGTAAGCGCGGACATTTTTGAATGGAACCAAATCACACCAAACCAAAGATCCCAAGGAAAATCATCCAACACCGAAGTTGCCATGGACACAAGTAAGCGCAGACATTTTTGAATGGAATGATTTGAAATATCTAGTAATTGTCGATGCGTACTCCGGATGGTTTGAAATTGACACCCTACGGAACATGTTGTCTAAGACCGTAATAATGAAAATGAAACGCCATTTTGCGGTTCATGGTGTTCCAGAATTGTTGATGACTGACAATGGCACCCAGTTTGTGAGTGAAGAATTCAAGTTATTTGCGAAAGATTGGAGTTTTAAGCAAGTGACCAGTAGCCCAACATATCCTCAATCGAATGGTCTTGCAGAGAATGCAGTTAAACAAGCCAAGAAGCTATTAGAAAAATCTAAGAGGGATGGATCTGATCTTATACTTGGGTTGTTAAACCTAAGAAACACGCCTAGGGATGATAGTCTTGGTTCACCTGCACAGCGCCTTATGTCGAGAAGAACTCGAACAGTTCCTCCGATGTCAAATAAGCTTCTTAAACCAAACGTCATTCCATGCAAACAAGTGTCACAAAGGATACGTAGGAAACGAAAGCAACAGAAGACCTATTAAGACAAAAGTGCAAAGACACTTGGAACTTTGAAAGCGAATCAAATTGTTAGAATGCAAACGGCGAAAGGATATGATAGGATTGGCGTAGTTAAGCAAGTAGCAAAGGAACCACGGTCGTACATAGTCGAATCAAATGGAAAAGAGTATAGAAGAAATCGAAGACATTTGCTTGCTGTACCAGAACTATATTATCATATCAAAGAAGAACCTGACGAACCAGATGGAAGCACACCATTTGAGAGTTCTCCACAACCAGTATCAAGCCACCCTACAGTTAATACGGTTCCCGACGAAAATTACGAAGTTCCACAACAAGCAGCATCAATCCCAACACCCATATTACCACCAGGTCAAGTTGTAACAAGATCCGGAAGAGTTTCCAAACCAAATAGAAGATACCAAGATTATGTAGTGTGAGCATTAAATTTAATTAACATTATAGAACAATATTTATTTATTTAAAATAGCAGTTCAGAACATTAGAGGTTTGTTAATATCAGAACATTATCATTATTATATTATATTATTAATAGTTATTATACATTATTATATATATATATATACATATTAGTATGAACGTTAACTCCTATGACATTAATTTCTCTAACAACGAAGGATTTAGACGAACAGTTATATAGCGGGCTCAGTAATTATGTACTGAAGGCTCAACAATACGGTTTCCTGACATATATAAACTAGATTATATTTATTCGTCAGTGTGATAGTCGAGGTGTCGAAGTGAAGATATCAATTAATAAACGAACATATTTATAAACGTTCGACATAGCAGTTATCTGAGAAGCCAATCAGATCTCTCCCTTTGGTCGTCCTAACCCAGAGCTTAATTTTCAACGAGTGACCGAGTGAAAATGGCTCTGTGGGCGAGAATCATACGAGACTATATGAGACTATAAACCGCTGATGTTTTAAAACCTAAAGCAGATTAAACAGTAACTAGAGAGTAAAGTGACTGAAATTTGAACATATTTAGGTATGTCAATTCTTTGTACCGACATTTTCCACGAGCTTGTGGTTGTGGAGAGGTGTTTGGGTTCGAGGTGGCTGATGCTTTGGAATACCTGGGCAAGAGTAATAAAGGGATGGAAAATGCGTTAAGAAGTCTCATACGAACATCTCATCTAGGATGTAACGGTGTTCGCATAGATGTTGGTGAAGTGCAGCCCAAGGGATCTCACATCCAAAGAAAGAAACTGCCCGAAGGTCTAATCCAAAATTTGGACAAAGGTTAGTTAAAAATTCAAAGTAGGTAGCGTAGATAGAATCGCAGTCCCTATAATTTTCAATGTCCATATAAGGTAATTCGTTTCCGATTATCTTATTACCTAACGTTGAACATGAATGCAATGTATGCAAACGTTATTTGCTGATCGTTTAATTAAACAAATATTACATTCCCTCATTCCTTGTTCTCTAATATTTTATACTACCACTAGCACGGTACTTGCGGTCTAAGCATTTTTTATAAGTCTTGTGTTAAGAAAATGTTGATAATTTTTACATTAATAACTTATGTTAATGTATCTGCATGTTATGTTGTTTTCAGTATTTCCCGATGCAAAAAAACAGAAATAAATCCAAAACAGAAATCTTCAGGTATACATTCTATTCATCTTATTTTTGGTACGGTACGCATTTATTGGTACAGTACGCATTTATTGTTCGTAGTATAAACGGGCAGACGTCATTACTCAGAGGCAGAGTATATTATTATGAAACATTTAACAAATATAAAACATTTTCCGTGTTGATTGCGTTCGACGGAGAACGCATTCTAATCGTGTCATATCAATCCCGTGTGTTTTACGAGAATGTCCCGCGTGTGTCTGTATGCCATTCGATTATCAGATTGGACGCCATCTTGGACTGGCTGGGTGGCAGATCGATCTCATGTACAAGCCGGAAGTCATGTGATGCAGCCCACGTGCATCGTTCTTTTTTGTGACTTTGTCGTTCATTGCTCATTTGGTGCTCTCCTAAAGGTATAAAGGAATTTGTATTGATTTATTTAAATTATCGTTATAGTGAAAATACAAGAAGTGTCCCACTTCCGCTTCTGTAGCATGTTGTGATTTACTGTAATTTGTTCTGTTTTTCTGTAGCGATTGCCGATTTATCGGCAAATACTGCGATAAAATTTAAATTTCGTACATTTTATGCAATGAAACATAACAAAAAAATTATTATTTCCCTTTGCTACAAATTATCATATTTAAAAATGGAGAAAACTCGCTTTTATCGCGGTATTTGCCGATAAATTAGTAATCGCTACAGAAAAACAGAACAAATTCAGGGCCGTAGTTAGACGCGATAATTGGGGGGGGGGGGATTTTGTATATTCATATATTCATGTTCACACACAGTAAAAACAATTGCTTTCAAAGGAAATCCGTCGGGCAGAACACGAATATATGAATATCCCCCCAATTATCGGTCTAGCTACGGCCCTGAACAAATTGCAGTAAATAACAACAAACTACAGATAAGCGGAAGTGGGACACTTTTTGTATTAACCAAAGAGTTTCCCCGGAGTCACATAATTGATTTACATTATGTTTCTACTTTGCAAGTAACATAGAAAAAAAGTTGTGTACAATAGACCTTATTCATAAATCGTGATCGAGGCCTCGTATCCTAGGAAACGGGAAAAAAAACGCGGGAAAACAAGCGAAAGCTGCTTGAGAAGCCAAATTTAGACGCCATTGTGTAGATTTTAATCACAGTTTAATGGCTTGTTTCTTGTTGTTTATTTTGATTTTTGTGTGTGTTGTAAGATTTTGTGCTCACAACGAAAGCTACGTATAAACGATTATAGTAAAAAAACGACCGGTTTTTGTCCCGTTTTGTGTGTGGAAAGTCTAAAAATATGACAACGTAGCGGTGGTGTTTATTCAGAAGCGAAAAAACAGTACTTTACTGAGATTTTAACGTTACTACATCCGTAAAAAATCAAGACAACTATGGAATGTAAGTTTATTTTATAATTTGATATGAGTATGAAAGAAAACAAGAGTTCAAAAATTACAAGAAAACGTCAAATGTTATTGATTCGCATGGAAAAATTATGAACTGTGTCTGGGCTCGAAGACATTCTGCAAGCAGCTTACAAGTTTAAAAGGTAAAAGATACAATACCTGAGTGAGTTGTAATCTTATTTCTTCAATAATAGTTTGATATTTCGTACGATTTTGGTGTTGTAGACGTTTTGTGGCCTTGTAGGCCCTTGTTGGTTATTTGTTTTGGCCATACAAACTACAACAAAATAAAAGTTTCCTTTTCCGATTGACCCCAGCATCTTTTACGTTAAAGGACATTGGCAACCAAAAATTTTTATTGCTTATATCTGTTAGGTATACTAGTCGAGGACCTGTATATGATTTGTATGCATTTCATTTAGGACAGATAATCTCAACTGTTTTAGGGCAAGTTGAACATGACGGTCAACATGGTAACGCTGCCCGAACCCCAATCCGGGACGAAACGTTCGAAACTGACCACACCCAAAAACGACGCTTTCGCCATACTGCTATCTACAAAACCATAAAAGCTTTGGCTATTCTGAGGTGCTTATATGGTTCAGAGATGTTACTTTTGGGCGTGATCATTGGTAAGTGTGAAGTGCCTAACACTAATATTTCACAAGAAAGTGACCATGCAATAATCATAGTTAAACGTCAATTTGTGGCTTGCAACTTCAGATAAACAGCAGTGGACTTACATTACCTTTTTCCCTAAATCTTTTTGATAGAAACATAATTGGTACTTATTTAAATATATTATCACTGGTTTGGTGTAAAATAGTTAATATTTTCTGAGCGTAATAATAATTTGAAATGTGCCTACCTCCTGCAAATGGACGTATTTGACCAAGTTCTCCACTTTACCCGGCTGTTTATCGGCGATCTCGTCGACATCCTACAAAAAA